GCGTGGAGATAGTGGACTCATACAAGTACCTGGGAGTGCACATCGATGATAGACTGGAATGATCTAAGAACACCCAAGCCATTTACAAGAAGGGTCAGAGCTGACTTTACTTCTTGAGGAGGCTCAGGTCCTTCAATGTATGTAGTAAGATGCTACATATGTTCTATCAGTTGGTTGTGGCTAGCACCATTTTCTATGCGGTAGTATGCTGGGGCTCTGGGATTAGAGCAAGGGATTCATCAAGGTTGAACAAGCTCATCAGAAGAGCAGAAGAGCTCTGTCATTGGGTCTGACCTGGACCGCCTGGAGGCAGTGGCTGAGAGTAGAATGGTGTCCAAACTAGAGGCCATCATGGACAATGTCTCCCAACCCCTCTATGACATGCTTGTGAAAATGAAGAGCACGTTCAGCAATAGGCTGATCCAACCACGATGAGACAGGGAGAGCAACAGGAAGTCATTCTTGCTTCTGCCAAAAGACTACAATGCATCCACCTTGTGTCTGGGCAGGGGCAACATTGGCATTGACTGTTTTTGGACTAAACAGTAAAACTCTTTGCTACATTTGGCTTTCCCTTCTACAACCATAGTTGTGTAATATATGCCAGGGACCTGTTCAATACACTTATATGTATATTAATATTGTGCAATTAAATGTTTTGTGTACTGTCCTGGTTTGTTCTTAAATATTCTGGACTGTCAGTAACTCTTCCTTAATGCACTTCTCACTGACTGTATTGGTTGTATTGTATGTATTATGTAATTTCATTACACTATGCCGTGTTGTGCATTTTCTAGTATCTAGTATCTATCTAAATTACATTTGATAACTCAAATCCACTTGTATTATCGGAGATACTTGAACAGTGATGTATACTGACCAGGGATGGACCTCCCAAATCTTTGCTTTCAGAGTATAATGGTGTTTGCTAAAGCATCTAATCCTCAGGACCTATAAGCCAAATTATTTTACTCAGAAGACTTGGAGCTCCTGCCATTCAAAGCAGACACTGTTTTTGCTTAAAGTAACCATTGACTTGCTAAGCATTCACCACTTATGTGCTAAAGGATACTATGTGATTTGAATGTACCTTGGTGGAGTGGTCCATACCACAGATGACTTGCAAATTTACTAAATATGCAAAGCAAGACTGTAGCTCTCCAGAACAATTTGTAGATATCACAGAATGGAAAAAAGGACAGTTCTCCAAGGAAGTCTAAAATGTTCTCATTGGAGACAGGCATCTATAACTCAGGGTCATAACCTTTATCACAATGTTGAGTCTTAAATCAAATGACTTTATTGCAGGAAGGCCTTGAACGATTTAACCTATCAGTGCAATACAGTATAATTGTACCTTGTTCAATACACTTTGCTCAACAGTTAAGGATTATATTTTGCTAGTGTAATTTAAAGATCATTTGTGATAGTTTACTGCAGTAGTCTCACTAACATGAGTCATTCATTCATGCATAAGAATATGTCAATAATGTTTTGAGGACCCCGATGTATAATTTCCCTGAGCTTAAAACTTACTCTTATATAAATGCTTTATGATAACTACATTTTTGCACAAAGCTAAATTTTAGCAAATTACACAATACACAATTAAAGAAAAACACAGTCAAGAAAAAACTATGCAAAAGATAAATCAATACAAAAAAAGGTTTTCTGAAAAAAATACATTTTATTTCAAAGCAATGTTGTCCTCGATTTATTTTTAGATGATGTTTCAGAACTTTGGGGTATAGCAAATGAACCTCTGTGGGAATACACAGGGATCAAGAATGGGTCAAAGGTTGTGTGGAGGGGAAAACAATGATAATATACAGTATCAGATAGATAATGGGGAGCCAACCCATGTAGCCTTGATTTTATGCAGGTTGCCTTTTTTTATAAGAACAGGAAATATGCAAAAAACACATAAAGCTCAATATACATAGATTTTCATTATATAGTATAGTACAAAACTGTCATATGTTGTTGCAATAAAGTACATCAGATTCCTTTTTATACAGTACCATCTCATGAAGTACCATATTTTTTTTTATTTGACCATGGCATGGATATAACAGACCACAACTGTGAACAATGCTCTTGCTTTCATAAAGAACAAAAGGACTTCTACACATATTTACAAAAGTACAAATGATGGGTAAAGGTAAAGGTACAAGGTACTTCACAATTCATGCACGCTGATGCTGCTTCCCACTCAAACTTACAAAACTACACTTTTTATATTGTTTAATTGGCTTCATTTAGTGAAATTTTGTGCAATGTTATACTTTCGAGGATTACAGCCATAAGCATTATGGAAAATGAAATATCATAGAGCAAGTAACTTTACTTAATCTTTACTTTAAGTAAAACAATGATATGCCACTATAATAAACGAGTTGATATTCCACTCAAAATACAATTTCTATTATCTTGTTAGCACAGTATTTCACATTTTGTAATCTCCTCAGGGCTGTGTTATCTGATTCTGTCACAACATTCCACTGAAAAGAGGCTGTACTAGAAAACACATTTCACCCTGTCTTTCAACATATTTAGTGTCCAGAGATAAAACTAGGAAATTGTTAGCTGATAAACTGCAAAGGACTGATGTCTTGAAGACCACTGGAAGAAACAAAGACGTTATAGTAAAAAAAAACTTTCTTTTATGATATAAAAGCTTTCTGGATTTTTGACATACCATTTGTGTTATTCTTTCTATCTTTCTTGAAAATTAATAAAGTGCCTTGCAAACATATTCGGATCTTAGCACAGTTTTCACATTTTGTTGCTTTAAAACTTTGATACTTTTAAAAGAATGTGATGGTACAAGTAGGGTCTTTGATTAAAGCCTCTTACTGGAGTGCAAAATAGACACGATGATTAGTATTCTGGAAATTACATTCTACAGGTCCAAAGAGCTTTTGTGCTGCTTTCATTTCAGAGTTTTAGTGCCTTACTTCTTCAGGGGTTTGACGTCACTCACCCCCTTTAATGGCTCAGGAGACTCAAACTGGTCCCATTTGTTGGTACAATGCTACAATACTACTTTCGGGACCAGAACAGTCACTGGCACTAACAGAGCACTAAACGAATGCAGTGGGTTTTAAAGTTTGTGCAGTTTGTAGTTTTGTAAGGGAGGCAACTTCACATAACTTATCATGGAATTTTATTAGCCAGGTGTAGAATGGATGGAGTCTACTAGTGTGCCACTACACTCCTGGAATACAGGAAAAGAGTAGGTTTTTAGTATGGACAGCAGTGTGTTTAGATAGCGAAGGAGTAGTAATTTGGCTCTTGTGCTTTTTCATCAGGAACCAGCCTTGTAGTCACAGTATCGGAGTCAGTATTGGTTTCATAATGTTAACAAAATACTGCAAGGATTTTATGTATGGACTTGTTTGGTAAATAGAAGAAATATCCAGAGGGAATGGTTGATGATTCAGTTAATCTTGGAATTAGTATTAATCTAGTGTTGATTAAAATAGAGGTGAGGAAACGAGGTGTAAAGACTTAAGCTAAGTCATATGCACTAGGAAATCGTGGAAAAGATGGGGACAAATATTTTCCAGTTAAACAGATCACTGACCAAAAATGGTTGAGCCAAATTTAGCATGCCAGGGTATCCCAGAGTAGGAAAAGAACAAGTATCATCAATGGAAAGATATGGAGTCCTTAAGAGGAATTTACCTGCTTTGGCCTTCCTGATCATTTTACTAAGGATAGAAAAGATGATCTACATGAGAAGAAAGGGAAAGGGGTTGTAATATAAATTCCTCTGATGAAGAAACTGATCTTGGGACTGCATAGCTCTTTATGAAAGGGGACCACCCTTCAAGGAACTTGTGTCCAGTTTAGTTTATTTGTCATATGCACAAGTGCAATGAAATGCTTATTTGCTTGTATGCTCCGATACAAAGACATTAAGGAATCACCAAAAACATAGAACAGAAGCAGCAGCAATAACAAGTTAAATAATGTGCAACTTAAAGTAAGAGAAGCAGTGTGAGAAGAGAAAAAAAACATCAGTGTGAGTCAGTGGTAGGGGAGTTCAGTAATCTGACAGGTTGTGTGAAGAAACTGTCTCTGAATTTGGAGGTTCGTGCTTTTATGCTCCTATAACACTTACCAGAGGGAAGGGGAGATAAAGTAAGAAACCGAGATGATTGTTATATTTAACAATACTTTTAGCCTTCATGAGACAGCGAGCTGTAAAAATATCCATAATGCAGGGGAGCTACAGTATACTCCAGTAATAGACTGGGCTGACCTGCTCACCCCCTATAATGCCTACCAGTCAGACAATGAGCTGCTACCAAACCACACTGTAATACCACACGTGAGCACACTTTCTATAGCACACCTGTAAAATGTAGTAAGGATAGCTGAAGATAGACTAAATTTTTTCAACTGCCTGTGGAAATAAAGGCGCTGTTGGGCCTCTTTGTAGCTCCAGTTACATGCCGGGACCTTTGCCAGACAGAGGGGTTCCAAAACAGAGACAGACAACATCCAAATCTGCATGTGTAATCTAGCCACATGCAAACACAGATACAAATCCGGCTTGTGAATTGGCATTTAACACAAAGAAAAATGAGTTATGATAACAAAGAGTTTGAAGTCAACCATAAGAAGCGGAAGGCAGACAGACTGTCCTGGAGATCAGGCTGTTCCTGCATACTTATCCACTGGGCAAGAAAGAGACTGGTTACGCAATCTTTGTGAAGCCAACGTATCTTGGGAAAAATATTTTCTAGTTTTAGTGAAATTATCAGGAATTTCAGTCATGGTTTACTGGTTTTACTGAATGAAATATAAACTTAACAACTACAAGGCAATGTTTTCAAAAAACCTTTGGATGGGATGTAAGATAATTAACAGTGTTAGTGATATTATCAGGAACTTCAATAAAATTTGTTTATGCAATGATCTCTGCCTCAGGATATATTAATCAGGAGGAGGAGCAAGAATTTTCATTTTATATTCTGAGCAAGTGGTGCTTTTACTCATTGCAGTTCTGTGACACAGTCTGGCAAAATGAGCTTTTTACTCTCGGTTCTTCTTTCATTGCTGGTTTCTATTCTCGGTGGACTTTATCTCCTCGGCGCATTTCGCAGAAGACGCCCTGGAGAACCCCCACTAGACCGAGGTCTCATACCTTGGTTTGGTCATGTCCTAGACTTCCGCAGGGACACAGTTAAGTTCCTTCAGAAAATGAATGAAAAGCATGGAGATATGTTCACAGTGCAGATATCCGGCCTCTATTTCCATTTCCTAATGGATCCACTGTCTTTCGGAGCAGTGGTAAAGGAGGCACGAACAAAGTTGGATTTTACCAGGTTTTCGCAACAAATGGTGATAAGGAGCTTTGGTTACCATCCCATAGAAGAAGACCACAAACTTCTGCAAGCTTCTAGCAACAAGTATCTGACGGGGGACGGTTTGGTAGTCATGACCCAGGCCATGACGAGCAACCTTCAGAACCTGATGCTACACAGTGTGGGTACAGAAAAAGATGAGAATGAGTGGAAAGAAGATACACTTTTTAACTTTAGCTACAATATTGTGTTCAGGGCTGGTTACCTTTCCCTTTTTGGGAATGAAACAGTGAAGTCTGCAGGCAGCTTGGAAAAAGCAAAGGAGAAAGACCGCATTCAATCTGATGAACTGTTTTATGAGTTCAGAAAATTTGACAAACTGTTCCCTAGGTTGGCATATGGAGTGTTGCCACCAAAAGAGAAAATGGAAGCAGAAAGATTAAAACGGTTGTTCAGTAGCATTTTGTCTGTACAGAATGTGAATCAAAAGGAAAATATTAGTGGCTGGATTTCAGTACAGCAGCAAGAGAGAGCTGCAAATGGAATGAAAGAGTCCATGCAGGACAGATATATGTTTTTGCTGCTCTGGGCTTCTCAAGGCAACACCGGCCCTTCTGCTTTCTGGCTGCTTCTGTTCCTCATAAAGCATCCTGACGCAATGAAGGCAATCCGAAAGGAAGTGGAAGAGGTCTTGAAGGAAACAGGACAAGAGGTAAAACGTGGGGGGCCGCTTATCAATCTCACAAGAGACATGCTTCTGAAGACCCCTGTGTTGGACAGTGCAGTGGAGGAGTCCCTCCGTCTCAAAGCTGCTAATAACATTGCCAGAGGTGTTCGGCAGGATATGACCCTCAAGCTGGCCGACGGTAGAGAATACAACCTCCGAGAAGGGGACATAGTTGCACTGTTTCCACATGCTGCTATTCAGATGGACCCTTCTATTCACCCTGACCCACAGACCTTTAAATATGATCGATTCCTCACACCAGAAGGTACCAAAAAGACAGACTTTTATAAGAATGGTAAGAAGGTGAAATATTATAATATGCCCTGGGGTGCTGGGGTGTCAATGTGTCCAGGCCGTTTCTTTGCAACAAATGAGCTCAAGCAGTTTGTCTTTTTAATGTTAGCATACTTTGATTTTGAGCTCAAGAACCCAGAAGAAGAAATCCCTTCCATCGATCCCACACGTTGGGGGTTTGGAACCATACATCCAACCAGGGATGTTCAGTTTAAATACAGGTTAAGATTTTGAATCAAGTTCAGGATGAGTTTGTGACTGTTATGTGAGTATTTTGTTCCTGTTTATTCTCATGCAGGTTCAGAATAACTCTTACAAATAACAGTGAAATCTGTTAAAACAAAATATCTGAAAATTCAGTGCCTAAATCTCCTTTTTATATATTAAGTGTCTATATAGATATACAAATTATAAGCATAGCTGAAATTAAGTAGTATTAATCTATTCTTATGATATTCATTGCTTTGAGTTTCTAAAAAGTGCTAATCAATTGAATTATATAACTTTACAGAGCTCACTTTCCCAATTACAACATTTATGAGTTGTGCATTAAAAGTTAAAAGTGCATTAAAAGTTAATTTACTTAAAATAAACACATACTAGAAAGTAAAAGAAAAAAAAATGTTATTCTCCAGCACATATAATAAAATAATTCACCAATTTAGCTCCTTAATGAACACAAATGGTCTCAAAACAAAGCAGTGGAAGAGATATTCAGTCTTTATTTAAGAGAAAAAATATATTCTACAATGGAAAGCTGTGGAATATCTATTAATTCAGCAAGACATGTGGTTGTGTAATTTGAATAAGTCACTTTTCTCAAGGGTAAAATGGCAGTACTCTACACTGTCCTCACACATTTTCTAGAATCCTGCATTGAAGAAACATCTGGTTCTCATCAGCTTCAAAGTGCTCATTCAATCCCATAAATGTCTTCAGGTTTCTATGGCGACATCACCATACATGCATCCTGTTTATTTTTTGCATGTATTGGCCTACATTGTTTCCCCGTAATGCAGGAGAAATTGTTCTTTACATATCTGCTATAGTTGTAATTTATTTAAAATACATTAGGGTTTCTAAAGAAATGATATTATTCATTTTTAATTTATTTTTATTTTAATCAACTTTTGTATCTCAATGGGCAGAAAGGGTATTTTTCAAGCTGTAAGTAAAACATAACATTGCTGATGATAGAGTTTCAGCTATTCTCAACAATAACTTTATTATATGGGATTTCTTTGATTGTGGAATCTGTATCTTGTATCTGATATTATTAAAAAGAAACAAGGAGTTTGTGCTATCTAAATAAATGCACTGTAATTCTGGAATCTGTCTGGATTATGAACAACACTTACAAGTGACTCAACATTGCCATTTACACTGCAAACTTTGAAATTCTGGTAGCCCTATGATCTGTATGGTAATGATGTTTATTTATCTGAATTCTTTATGGACATAAATTAATCTGTATACTATACCGTTATTTACATTTGTTTACAGTAAGTTCGTACTGAACAACCTATTTTCACATTATGCAAGACTGTTCTGAAATTTGCGATACTGCATATTAAGCACATATATGGTAAAAATATTTATCAGTAATACAAATATGATGAATAAGATAAAGGATTTTAAAATAATGTGATGGGTCTTACAGCAATCAAAGTATATTGTTAACAAAGAAGTTATTAACACAGACTACAATCCTTATTCCCTACGAATCTCTATTCAAAGCTCAGAACAATAAGGGGGATGTCCAGAACTCAAAACATAAAGAACTCCGGGCTTCCAAGAGCAGTTACAGACACACTGTAACAAAACTGTCCAATGTATTTGCAACTATTAATATATTAAAACTACAGTATAATGTAAAGCTACAATTAAAAACAACAAACCATAAACCATAGCACTGTACTTTTAAGAAAAGTACACACATCATAAATACTGATTTATATGAAAATGTATTAATTTTTGTAAAAAGAAGTCTTTATCAGTTTTCTGTCATTATCTGTCAACAATTTGTCACTCTTGTTTTAACTAAGGTTTTCAACCTGGAACTCTTAACATCATATTACTTTTTCAAAGATTTCTACCCAATTTATTTTGACGTTATAGTGAAATTATCAGAAACCTGAGTGTTGATCAAGAAATTATTCCTGGAACTTCAAATAAGAAATAAGAACATTTTATGAAATAAGAAGATAGTTTGGGGTGGTGTGGTGGTTAGCATTACTGCCTCACAGTGCTAGAGGCCTGGGTTCATTTCCTGGTATGTTTGTATGGATGTCTTGCAGGTGCTGCTGTCTTCTCTCACAATCTAAAGACATACTGTAACAAGTAATAGGTTTATTCCCTGAAAAGAGAAGAAAGAGAACACAACATTTCGGTGTGCATTGGAACATGTGCATTCTTTGTGTTCTCAAAGTAAGGTTCCTTAACTCCTACAGCAGAAAGACATAAGAAACTAAATTTATCCTGAAATTTGGTTCACCCCTTCCCCCTTCTCTCAATGACAGACTTGTTTTCTTCTAATTCTCTCTATTCATTTGTACATTTCGTTTCACACCTCTCCTCACCTCTCTCGACCTCGACCTTGATTGGCCACTCTGCCTCTCCCCTGCTCCCACCTGCTCCTCTCTCCTGGCTTTTGTTTTCCCATGCTATATTATCTTTTCTTACTGCCCTTCAGTATCTTTCTTACACCTGAAGAAGGCTACACAGCCGAAACATTGTGTTTTCTTTCTTCTCTCTCTTTTCAGCATGGAATAAACCCATTACTTGTTCCTTTGCAGCCTACACATGCTGACACAGCTACCTACCTAAAGACATACTGGCAGGTTAATTGGCTTCTGGGAAAACTGGCGTTGGTATGTGTTTGTGTATGTGTGTCATGCCATGGACTGGCCTACTGTCCAGGGTGTATCCTGCCTTGCACCTGTTTCTTGCCAGCATGAGTTCCCCACCTCCCTGCATTGGGTACAGTGGTAAGAAAATGAATGGCTGGATGAAAGAAAGTCACTAATTTATTTAACAACATATCAATAGGCAAAACATGCTTATTGTGAAAGTGATATCATGTGCTGTAGCTGTCCTTCTTAAACTCCAAGCAAAATACCACTACTGATTCAAATAACAATAAAAACAGCAAGTAAAATTGTTTCATGATTAACAAATACATGAAAAAACAATAATTCCCCACATTTCAGTAATCCCTTATAGTAAAATTAAAATCTTTAAAATTGTAGCACTCGAAAGGTAAATTAAATCAAGCTTGCTCAAGTTTTTCTAAATCAAATTACAGTATGATTTAAAAAAAAACTCTTGATGAGCTAAGTATTAAGGATCCATTCAATTTTTTTTTCCTCTGGGTTTGATTGGGTCCCTTAATTTAAAAGGAAATCATTAGAAGATTGACTAGCTCAGGTGGCAAATCCCCTGTATTATACAGCAGGACTCCCAATCAGCAGATTGAAAATTTCAATTCTTGTAAAATGGGAAAGTTTGGGTTTTGGTGAATTACTAAAGTGAGTTCCTTAATGATGTCCTTTCCTTTGAAATACTGTAGTTGTGTTAGGCACAATACTTGTATAAAACTAAGAGGTATACAAACATAGGATCTATTGCCAGAGACGGAAATAGTTTCTAAATATAGTTTGCAAATCTTCATAATCAGTCTGAATAATTGGAATTATTTCACTGTCATTAAATGCAATATAATGACCATATACAACACATACTGTCAACCACCTCCAAGATCACCTCTGTTGCTTTGTTGATCTGCCAGCCAACTTCTAGTCTACTTTCTGTCTTAACAAACCTGTTCTTACTACCTTTTGTATATAACAACTATTTATAATAAAGTTTAAAAGCTATTTAAATCCATGTGGCATTTCCACATTGAAAACAAATACCAATACAGATATATCATTATATTTATACAGATGTGATCCAAGTTCAATAATTTGAGTCTCTGAGACCCATTTTGTCATCTTCTTGTAACAGATACAAACAATAGTTATTACAGTTCTGTCACAGGACACACAAAGTGGACAAAGCCTATTTCACACTAAGTGAATCATGTTTTTCCACCTATAAGACCCATTATTACACTCATACATAACTTTAAAAAACAAGAAAAAAAAAACATTGCAGTTGTGGAGATTCCTCAGGTGTGCAAGAGGCTCTTGAAGATGAGTACAAGTATTTCATTACGCCTTTAGGACTCTGCAATGCTCCAGTTTTCTAGAATCTTGTGAATGAGATCTCCTGGGATTTTTCAGTTTTTTTTAACTTGTTTTCATATTAAAGCCACAGGCCTATTGTACCACACAGATTTTGAAATAAAAAAAGTGTGGCTTATATTCAGGTAAATACAGTAATCCATCACAATCACCATTCACCAGGATAAGCACTTTCCCAATAATGAGATTAAATTGAACTGAAATAATAAAAACATACTCAGTAGATGTTTTTACATTTATACTGCAGATTACTGGAGAAAAGTTATTTAATACAATATATAACTATGTTTATAGCCAAAATATTTAATTGACAAGTGTAAGTAAAATAGGGAAAAGAGATAGAGGGGATACATTTTGGGCTGTGAATTCTCAGCCCAAAATGTAGATCACCAAAGAATTAGCTCTTGGGAAGAAATGAAACACAGGACGTCTCAGAGGGCTTTGGGGTTTTTAAAGTGGCTAAATGACTTGGATTGAGAATATTAAAAGGTTACTGCTGTTAAGAGTCAGGATAATAATTAATAATTGCTTTCAATTATATGGCACTTTTCAGGACACCCCACTCAAAGAGCTTTACAGGTAATGTGGACTCCCCTCCACCATCAATGTGCAGTATCTGTCACGAAAGACCCACTGAGAAATTGGGAGGATGGACCCTGTGCGGTACCTCCAGTGGTCAGGAGACAAGCAGATAGCTTCCAGAGCAAGCGAGGGCTAGGCGGGAGACGTGGTCAGTGGCAGGTTCCATGATTCTTATCGCAAAGAGAAGGCTTAGAAATAGAAGGCAAGGTAGAAGCTCCAAAGGGCAACTAATACCAAGCAAAGTGCAGAGGGTTTTGGAGGGTTTAAATATTGTGAGAGGAGGAAGGGGCGCTGATTGATGGATTGTTGTGGTTGGCTGATTTATAGGAGAGGCTTCAGCTTTTTCCAGGCTCATCTGGCTGTTTAATGAGCACTCACAGAACACTTCAGTTGTTCTCCAGGACATCAATGGTTATTTTTGAAGTGTATTTTTTTTGTTCTCATTTTGAAATTAGAATGAAAAAATCAGTGCACTAAATGAACACTAACACGCCAACACAAAAACCCTGCCTGTTACATTAATATTCTTTTGCAGTAGAGGAAAAAGATATTTTCAAGTCGCGGCTGAATAAACACTTCCAGTGTACACATGGATACATGATTTTCGGTTTTAACTGAACACTAGTGATTTTGTTTTTTCATTGTGAGATATGGGATGGTGAGTGTAATGCCATTGTTGTAATGTTTGTTTACAAAGGAATTATTATATATCATATATATATTTCTGTTTTTCTCATACATAGCCAAGGATACTTTCTACTGGAAAGATGATAAGCTCATTATAATTATCTTGATATTGAATGTTATTATTTATCAAGGTTATGTTGCCTGTTATTATTAATCACATATTAATATTATGTGTATATTGCATAATATTAGCATGTTTTTAAAAAATGAAGATACTGTACCTCTCCTTGGAAACTTCTTGATTTGATGTAACATTTTTACATTAATATGGGTAAAATATTTATTAATTTATGGGAAATGCAAATCAAATGATCTTTTAAGTTTAATATTTTCACTGTGCAGTACTGAAAATGTAGTACTGCACAGTGTACTGAAAATGTAGTACTGCAGATGTATAGTCAAGAACATTATGTGTTCAAAACACCTTTGAAAAGAGATATCAGATATTTTCTAGTGTTAGTGAAATAATTTTGTTATGCTGCTCTCCTTGTACTGATTAAATGTGAACTCAAAAACTACAAGGCAGTTAAAAGCTGAGGTTTCCCATTACTTTTGTTTATGCAATGATCTCTGCCTCAGTATATTGCAATCAGGAGGAGGAGCAAGAATTTCATTTTATTTTCAGAGAAAGTGGTGCTTTTACTCATTGCACCTCTGTGAGACAGTCTGGCAAAATGAGTTTTTTACTCTCAGTTCTTCTTTCATTGCTGGTTTCTATTCTCGGTGGGCTTTATATCCTGGGCGCATTTCACAGAAGATGCCCTGGAGGACTCCTGCTAGACCGAGGTTCCATACCTTGGCTCAGTCATGTCCTAGAC